CAATAAAGTAGATACATCGTATTAGGACCAACTCAAATTTGGTGATACTTAAAGTCCATTAAAACTTTAGTATACGTTGCGGGAGTCAAAACATTTCACCAACTTCAAGATTTGCGTTAACGATTTTGACATGTCTCCTCTCCTTCTTTCATTGTCTACCCAGCACTTGCATTAGTTTTAATATTTTAGTCACTACCAATTGAATTAATTATCAAGCTTGAAAGAAAGAGAATATAGTAGTAAGTTTTATTTTCTTTTGTTCGCCAGCTTTTGCCATGACAGATGCGAAAGGAACAAACTGCTATCTTCTTATACAAAAATCACTTGTCTCGGCCACAAACAACAATAATGGTCATTAAGATTTTAGGCCTATTTCCACTTAATAATGAGGTATGCGGATCTACTACTAAAAGTATTGCTAATATGATGGTTATTGGATCGACATGTATTCGCTTTGATCGAGAATGTGATTACGTAAATATACTCTATAAATTAGGATATTCGTGCAATATTTTTTCTTTCTTTTAGGTCTTCTATATACGATGTGTTTTAGCTGCTTTGGAGCCTTTTTTTCTTTAGAGATTTGAACTCACTCTATATTTACTACTGTTTAGTCATCTTGAGATGACTCTATATATTGGTTTGGTTTCATAGTATATTTTTTTCCTTTATAAATGACAATTATTTTCTTATTTAGATGAATACGTGCACTTTATACAGGATATTGTGATTCTACCTATAATTTCAAGAGATTTACATGTGGATTGTGAGACCCAAGTTCTAACATCATTTGAAGGTGAAATCTTGCACCTAAAGATTAGCTAACTCATTTATCTGATAGATTTTTCTTCTGATATGAAATGACTTTACTTTGCACATGATCAGGCTGCCGAGCAGTTATGGTTTAATTTTAGTCATTTTGCCCTGACTATAGGAAATTTATATTATTATTGTTTCTTTTTGTTTTTACAAATTGCACAATCCAAGTAGCAGTTTCGCCTCATATATAACAAATGAAAGTCTGCTTGATTTATCTGCGTGCAAAATCGAGACTGCTTAGATCTGTCTAAAATAGCTAAATGGAACATGGACAAAATAATCTAAGTTTATCCTTAATGGAAGTTCAAGCAATAAAACATCTAAGCACTTTTGTGGAGCAAGGTTTCTTCCTTTATATTTTAAAAATTTTTATTTTATAACTCAAATATTTATTTTTATATTAATATTTGTGTGATATTTTAAATATTTACTAATCAATATAGGATACACGCGTAACGCGCATGTTCAAATACTAGTAAGTTCATATAATAATGAGAACAGTAAACATTGAATACTAGCAGAAGCGGGCACATAATTTTTGGGCAGCGGGAGCACCATTACCTTTTATTACAGTCATTTAGGGATGACAAATGGGGCGTGCGGTTTAAGGCTATGCAGGGCGGGACGGGTTTAAAGCTATGCAGTGCGGTGCAGGACGGGTTAAGATTATTTTCGAAAAGACTGATACAATGCGGGACGGATTGTGGGCTTACGCGAGTTTACACAAAAATCACTAGCCAAATGAGAGAAAAATTACTTATGCAGGGCAGGGCAGGTGGACGCGAGTGTGAGTATGGGACGGGTGGATGCGGGTGCAAATGCTATGCGGTGCAGGGCGGGACGGGTTAAAATCTTTGCTAGCTTATGTGGTTTTGCCTAGCATCGTACCGTTTGCCATCCCTATAGTCATGCCAATTACTAGCTACAAATTTTAGCGTGTAACTTCTTAAAACTTAATAATTATGATAACTATAAAGGTCTCATGTTTCAGTTTTGAGAATAAAGAAATTCATGATAGACAATGTTAGGGGTGGTAAACGGGTGGGGCGGGTCGAATATAGACGGGTCAAAAACGGATAATGCAAAAACGAATAAATTATCCGACCCGACCCACATTAAATATGGATAGAAAATGGGTTAGCCAATTGATTAAAATAGAAATCCATATTATCCATGACTTTTTGAATATGAACACTTTTGAGGGAATTCCTAGTCTCTTAAACTTGAGAAACCCCCAATTTGAGTTTTTACAAATGTAAAAGTTAAACCCAATGGTTATCCAATTTCTAAGTAGATAATATGGTTATTATCCATATTTGACCCGTTTTTAAAAAAATTATTATCCAACCTATTTTTTAGTGGATAAACTGTTTCTTTTTATCTATTTTACCACCACTAGACAATGTCAATCTTTGTTGAGTCATTTTTGTAGAGATACCTGCTAGAATCTTATGAGAACTGACCCAACTGGTGATCTTATTTAGGTGCTAATTATAGTAGAAGGCATTTCCATGTTTTCAAGTACGTGGAGATAACATAACTACACAATATCTAAAAAAATTTACAAATTCCTAGCAACAATAAGTAATTAACAAATATGGGAGCTAATTATCTACATTTCTAGCCGAAACATTTAAAGCTACACCAATTCAATTCCTAAATTATCGCCCATAATATCATACATCTCCCATAACGGCTAAGCATAATGATGGCAAGACATATCATATAAAAATCAAGAATTATTTTACCGAGAATCTATAATGCATTATCAAATTTTACACCCCATTCATTCCTTTGATATGTCTTTCTTCTACAACACAAACACAGACTATAATCGTCTATTTATACTTCAATTATCATCGTTGTTTCATAACCTGATAAATAATTAATAGTAATAATAAATATTTGTGGTTTAAAGCAAGTATATCTAATATATACACACACAGAGACTTTATTATTTACATATTACTATTATATACTATGTAGTGGTATATTACTATTAACTAAATCGTTATAAGTGGTATATTTATATTATACAATAATTTGAACATACATTTTTAATTATACATTGATTGACTAGATGAATATATATACGATATATATTCGACGTATATTAAATTTCATAGTTTGCTTTAACATATATTTAGTAAATACCTGATGAATAATATCGTTATATGAGCATATTAAAAAAATATACAACTTGTACCAGACAGCACAACCTACACCTGTGACGCCCTCCCTCTCTAAACGTGATAGATGTACCTATAGCAAAATGTGCTATTCCCCCTGGAATTTGGAGTTTATTAAATTATCGGCCAACAATTCTCTTTAATACGAGTACATGTATTTTTGTTTGTTACAAAACATATATATACAGTGGTACAGAAGATATTTTTAAAAACTACATCTTGATAAACAGTAATAATACATAAGATTATAATTCAACTACATCAAATATACATAGTAAAATTTATATAATCGAAGCAAAATTCTTGAACAAAATCTTCAAAGGAATTGAAAAATGATTGGGGTCGTTTTGGTGCTCGCATGCATCCTTCTATTTGTTCGAACTTTTGAGAAGCAAGACTTCTTTTTCTTTTAGTTTTCTTCTCTCTCTAGTCTCGATCTATCTCTATTTTTTTGTTTTGTACGAGACTTGTTACTGAAAGACAGCCATGGTTTCCTTGTTTCTTTTTTCTCTTGCAAACCTGCTGAAATTTAGAATAGAAAATAAAAGGAAAGAGAGTGTGAAATGATAAATATGGATCCCATGATTTGTGCATTGTGTTACTCATTAATTCTGTGCATAATTTTTGCAATATGCTAATATTATAAAAAAATATGCTATTTATGGAATAAACAAGAAATGATATCATTTTCTTAAATAGGTTTTAAAAGATGCTTAGCCGTGTGTTTTTCTCAAGTACGGCTTTATTGGACTTGTGCACCCAATGTATCTTAGTTGTTGGGCCAGGACTTCCCTATTGGGACTAGGAAAAATGACACGTATACCTGCTCTCAAAATTATAATTTATATATAAAATGCATATATATACATTCTATATATAATATACAAAAGTTATATAAATTTTATACATTTTTTGGCTAAAATGTAAATAGTTTCTAGCGCGGGCTAAAAGTGAAAAAAGCTCTATGGACTATCCATGGCACTGGGCTTAAATATGTGCTTATGTGACAACTCCTTGCTTTAATAGGGACACATATGTTCAGCCCAATATGTAATCCACTGCTGTCAGACTAGAATGTATATCTCCAAAATGTTTGCAGAGTTCGAATCCAAATATCACCTTGAACACTGTTGCACAATTACTAGCGAAGCTAGAAAGTTATGTACAAGTTCGGGCAAATTCAATAACTTTAGTCCAAACACCGGAGTTGTATTAACAAATCTACTAAATATGTAAAAAAGTTCAAATTTAGAAGCCAAATACTAACCGTTGATATCGCCATTCTAGAATTTAGAACTCATAAGCCTCTAAAGTCAATTAGCTCTTCCCTGCCCTCTCTATTTGTTATGTGGTAAAAGCGAAAGAAGAATATAGGAATTAGACAACAAATAATGGAGATGCATATAGAATAAAGTCGAATGGAGAAGCATCTCAAATTCAGTAGCACATATTTTCTATATATTATTCAAATGTATTCTGCCAATTAGGGAGAAAAATACTACCTAACTTTCTCGTTGGCTGATGCCTTGGAAGATTTCTACACGTTAAAGATAGTACATCAAATAGCAAATAAGAAAAACGTTGATCAAATTATTCAGCTTAAGCAATCTAAAATTTTGAAGTTTCACACTGTAGCAACAAATTAATTGAACAGATCCAACAGATAAGAAAATTATCACAGGAATAAACTGTCATATCCCAGTTTTACTGCTTAAAAGGGAAAGGATCAACAAGTTTAAACTGTCATATCCCAAGCCACATGATCACTTGTCTAGAGTTTTCTTCCAGCTATGCTTGTTCCATACATGTGGAACTTGTCCAAGTCCAGAAATTAGAATAATGAATAGATAACACAATTATCGCAAGGAATAGAATAAATTCTCAATCCTTTACCTGACGGAAAGAGATTCAAAAATGATAGAGCTAGTGATGTGAGGTGCAAAGAGAAGAATCTCCACTACCAAAACTACTATAAATAGATATCAGATGACTGGCCATGTCAAGCAAGCGAGCCATAAGAAACTAGAACACGAATACAAGAGTCATTCTCTGTTCAGTTTCAGCCACATTCAATGGCATCACTTCAGTGCCAAAAGCCAGTTGCGCAACAAACTGTCTGCCAAAAAAACACCACTGTGACTTGCCACAAAGCAAACAATGAGCACCACTCTTTTGCTGACAAAATGAAAGAGATGACAGGCAAAATGTTCCACCACGAGAATCACGGTCAGCAATCCGCCTGCCATGGCTCCAAAACTCAACAATCAGCATGTCATGGCTCCACTGCTATGCATGGAGCTCATGCTAATTATAGCCAGCAAAATGCATGCCATGGCGCCAAACCTCAACAATCAGGATGCCATGGCTCCACTGCTATGCAAGGAAGTCATGGTAACCACAGCCAGCAGACAGCATGCCATGGCTCGAAGAAGGAAGGGGGTTTCATGCATAAAATGGGTGATCAGCTGAAGACCATGAGGAGAAAGAAGAATAAAGATGGACGCTGCAGAGATGGCAGTGATAGCAGCAGTAGTAGCAGCAGTGATGAGAGCGACAACGAGAACTGTGGAAGGAACAAGGTATAGCCTAATGTCTACCTTTTGCTTCTGTATATTTCAATGTTCACTGATGAGGAAAAAGATGGTCATTTCATTGTTGGTAGTTGGTAGGTATTATAAAAGTTTCACAAATTTGATCTAAAACTTGGGACATTCACTAGGGAAGAGAACAGATTTTGGAATCTGTTAGTTTAACTCTGCACAATGCTCACTTTCATAAAGATAGCTGTTTTACTAGTTACACTGAAGCCTAAAGTCTCCTCTTATTTTTGCAGAGAGAGAGCTGCTGAAGAAGTAAACTGCAATACTCAATAAGAGACAGAAGCTATACTACTAATGAACTGTTGCTCAGTAATAATGTACTTTGTCCGAAAGCGATGTCTGTGTCTGTGAGAGAAAGCTAAGTGTGGATGTGCAATATGAATAAATGCTAATACTTCAATGTACCTATCACCTATGGTCTATCCGGTAATGAAATAAGCTTCTGAGATAAATATTGTCTCTTGCTTTTGGGATAAGTAATCAATATTGCCTCATGATGAAAAATGAAATGGACGAACAATGAGCAAAGACAACAGAAAGCCATGTACAAATAACCATGGAACAAGTATTAGTAGATGATAAGAGAGAAAAAATGGAGGAAAGAAAGAGTAAATCATAACGGAATGACAATTTTCACCAGCATTTGCAGGCATTTTTCCAGTATTAACTGTAGAACGGATACAGTCTGCCTTTAAGTAATAAGCAGAAGAGCTCATCATAATTCTTTTTATAGGCAAAATAGACAGCACATATCGATTTTAAAGCTGATGAAATAAATTTTGAAGGAGTTGGTAGTAACTAAGCAATTTCATCTTGTTTCTAACCATTCAGATGAGGTAAGAACTAAAAGGAATGCTCAAGACATCCGGGGAACTCCTCATAAAACTCCAGAAACCAATATAAGAAAGCAGCAAGTGTAAATGGAAATAAAGAAAGGCTCAAAGTGTTCAGGCTACTCATGAATGTATTAGCAAAATAGTATATTCCATCAGCCATTTGAAGGCTTTTATCTTGCTGCACTTTTACTAGAAAATAAAGCAGGAATCCATACGTCACAAAGTCCAAAATTAAAACGCAACGAGATGCACAATTAGGACAGACAGCACCATCGTCCAGCTGGTAAACAGGGGTCAGAAAGAGTATATTGAAACTAATCAAACTCTGCTGGCCTATTGGACTCTGCAACGCCTATGTTCATAAAGACGCACCCAGACCAGTGTTTGCATCAGATCAATGAATGCATAACATATGTCTTCTACATATACTTTAAACCGCTTAACATGTTAAACTTATAAGTTCAGTGTAAACACTGAGTGCGTTTAGGTTTTTGTCATTCATAATACGCACACCTAAAGAGATGGAGAGCAGAGACGGAGAAAACAAGGATTCTAGCCAGTAACACAAAAATCCTTTCGCGGAGCCAAGGGGCACAACAATGGCATTATATTTCTACATAGTTGGACAGTTCAAACCTAAAAGATGTTCATTATTTCCATAGAACTCAGCTACTGGGATTTAATTGAGAACACCAGATATATGCATTATTTTCAAAAGAAATTATGACTAATAATTTTGTCATGCTTTCCATTAAAATAGTCTGCTGATTCGTCTTCATATCAGTCAAGATGAGAATAAGTTTCATTACTGCTTCTCTCAAATTTACACTTCAGTCCTTCTAGAGAAAATCGTTAAATTATTAGGGCAATGAATTTTCAAGATTTAAATAGCAAACGAGTACCAGCATTTCCTTTTCTTTTTTGGGTCTATTTTATTATGCAAGTCTCTGAACCAGAACAATTTTACCTGTATTTTTTAACTGAAACAGGAGGAAGAAAAGGTATGGGAATCTGAAAAGGATGGGAACCTGGATTATTCTTTCTGTGCATTTTTGTAAGAGCCAAAAGGTCAGTTCATGGGCTACATTACCACTTCTTTGTGAACTGCCTTTTCCCTCGTGGATGCAGTCAAAAGCTTAGTTGAAGGATTTGGAATATAACCATAAGAAAATAAAAAATGGCCTGGAATAGAATGAGATGCTCTTCAAAGTTTAGCCTTTGGTAGAAAAGGAGATTCAAAGATGATAGGACAACTGATAAGAAAAGAATCCCACCACTAATTCATGTTGCTATTGCATACATGTATATATTTCAATCATTCTGTGAATATCAGGCAACAAGAAGACAATAGTCCAGAAGAAAATATCTCTAGTTTCAATTCAATCACTCATGGCATCAGTTCAATGTAGCAAGCCCACTCAGCAAAACAATCATGTTCAATCCTCCACCGTGTGCAACAAGACCTGCACACCAACTAGCCAAAAGGCTGTTTGCAACAAGACCAGCACTCCGACTAGCCAAAAAGCTGTGTGTAACAAGACTAGCACCCCAACAAGCCAAAAGGCAAATAATGAGCGCCACTCTTTCACTGACAAAATGAAAGAAATGGCACACAAAATGTTTCACCATGAACATCAAACTCAAAATGGTCAGAAGGCACACACCCAGCAACTACATCAGTCTGTCTGCCATGAATCCTGTGCAACTCATGGCACTCATGCTAAGCATTCCCAGCATTCTTCATACCATGGTTCGACTCATACTACAATTAATGGAAGGAAAAAGATGGAAGGGCATTGCATGCCTACGATGCAAATGAGGAAGAAGAACAAACAAGAAAAATACAAGTTCAGTGACAGCAGCAGCAGCAGCAGCAGTGATGACAGTGATAATGAAAAATGTGGACAAAAGAAGGTATGATCCACACCCTCCTAAATTTATCCATATAACCCTAGTAGGGCACTTGCAGAAACGGTCACAACAGCAAAGTTTTATAATAAAGTAACATGTCTTGAAATTTATAAATGTTTTTTCATTTCCGAGCCCATGACCAGAGAATATCAGAACTTTTCTCTACAACCTAAATTTCTTGTTTTGTGTGCAGAACTAAGAGAAGAGCCCATGAAAGATCATATACAAGGAGTGCAAAGATGAAAGCAACTTGAATCCTTTAACAAGACATATGCTAAAGTACCTTAACATTCCATTAACATTTCTTATACCTGAATGGAGGAATGATGTGCCTATCAATAAATGCTTATCATTTTGATTATGCAATGAAAACGTTCAATGTTGAATTTAAGTGATCAGAACAAAGTTCTGTTCCTTAAACCAATCAATATGACCATATAATCGCACTACAACTTCATTAGCATTACCTAAACCAAACAAAAAGAAATTGGATGGTGAGAAAGTACTTTCTGAACAGGGTTGCACATATAATGGCCAATGACCACCTATTTTCTTTCCAAAGCTTATAGAAAATGAAAACCCCAATTAGAAGTCCATATATCTTGGCTATAAGCAAAAAAAAACATATACAAGTTTTCCAGAAACTACTCATAGGAACCTTGCTACTTCTTTAAGTGAGTACATATCATATTTTCCATACAGAAGATTGGTCCATTGCATGAAAGTAATGGTATCATAGAAGAATAGACAGAGGATACTCCTGAGGTGGGGAAAAGAACTAGAGGCTATGATACTAATTACTAGTAGTACTTCATAGTGAGCAACATTTGCAGATATGCTACAACAATGCCATAACAAAAAAGATGCCCCCTCACCCCCACCCCCTAAAGAAAAAGGGGAAAAAATCCTATACCCTACAAGGAAGCAGTCATGAACCATCTTTGCACAAACCGGACAAAAAAGGTAAAACTATCACCCATTGCTTACAGTTAAGTAGTTGAAAAGCACCCCTCTTTCACGTGATTAGAAACAAAAGTTGCAATAGCATGAACAGCAAGCTTTTCAGCTTCCTCTTGGGTGGACTCAGCCAACTGTAAGTGCTTTTTCCCAATTTTGAAGGAGTGATCACCACCATCAATCACATATAATTCATTAGCACACTTCATTTTATTTCTTACAGCTTCCAGCTTCACCAGTGGACAAAGCCCATCTTTGCTACCCTACATGAAAATAAGCCACAACACTTGTACAAAGTCTTGAGCATGGATAAGTTTATAGTTAGCACCACCACCCTTCCCCAAGAAACTAATATTATGGTATTATAGCAATGGCTGACAACAAACATGATTATTTGAGCTGTGAATAATATTAAAAAATTAGCTATATGACCTAGCAAATTAGCAATGAGTGCACAAAAGCCATCAAATTATATCATAATGAGACGTATTTATGTATGCATGTATGTCAGTGCAAATGTACAGTTACGGCTATAACAAGTATGCGTATAGCCCATCTGTAAACAAGTATGCGTATAGCCCATCTGTATGTCAGTGCAAATGTACAGTTACGGCTATAACATTAGTATGTTTAGCTAATGTGTGCACCCCTTTTTCTTGTGAGTATTACTAAACAAGAATGCTCGTTCAACAAATAAGCCTCCCATAAGATCTACCTTTATGTCCATGTGACATGGATGCATCTATAAGCAAGTGATTTTACCTGCACAAACATAACAGGTACATCAATTTGTAACAGCAACTCATCTCGTGCACCTTTTGCACCCTGAAAGATTTACAGCAAGACTTAAAAAAGAGACAAAAAAGAAATGACTGCATATATATTCAGTAAAAGATGTAATTATTAATAAAAAAGTAAAAACAACAATAGTAAGTTAATATCAACGGTAAACTTCACATGCATTTATATGCAGTATATATCTTCACTGCAATGTATACACATAAATGCCTAAATATCTCCACTTTTATAAATGAACAAGTAGTGGACATCACGAACATGAGCGTCGAACTCAAAAACTAATGTGATTGTGTTTGTTCTTCACTAAGTTGCTCAGATACCAGTACTTAGTTGATATGATGAGCATTCTAATCTTAATAATCTATTTAGACCACTCAAGATTGACAGAAATAAAGAACTTGATTTTGGAATAAGAAACAATGTAGCACATCATACAAGAACATGTACATACACATCAAACACAAATAGATACTGCATATATAGAAAACTATACTGTGTTTATAGGTCAAAAATTACTTTTTATATATTAAACTTTTAACACCCTTAAGCAAAATTCCTGGCACAACCACTGCACCTGAAGAGTGTCTGTGTGTATATGCATAAAGTACATACTCAAACAATTTGTAGGCTCCAATGACCAAGATGCAAGTATTCAAGAATTTTCAATTGCAATAGTTATCAAGACAGATTAGAAAATAACTTCAAGTGCTAAATATGGATAAATTTGCAACGAGGGAATTAAGGTATTTTCTTCTTATAATAACTTAGATTTATTAAAAGGAGGCCTTTATTCTTCTACAATTATAAATAGGAATATGGAATTTTGACTTATGAAACAGAGATTAAAAAAAGACAAATTGAAGAGCAGCTCATAGTTTCAAATAGAGGGCACAACAATCCAGCTTTTAACAACTAGAAAGGAAAAAGAAATTTAAGTTGGTGTTAAAGACACAAACCAACTGGTGTCCAACTGTCCTCCATGTCTGGATGCAAACACAAGTTAAAATTTGTATCCATCTTACTAGCTTGTGATAAAAAGAGACAAATTTTATAAGCTTTTAAAATCTTTGGTTGTATGATAAGAGTAAATAATTCAATCCAGCAGGAGAAATACAAAAATCCATGAATTTATGGTGGGATTAGATTTTCAGTATGTGAGAAGCCTCATCTTTCCGCCATCTCAGGTTACTCGAATTATTTCGATGCAATCTTCCAAAAGGCACCATCATATGAACGTCAGTAAAATACATATTGGAGGTAGAATCTTAACCGTCTAAGCTTTAGGAAGATTAGACATAAATCTGGCAAATCCAATCATCATTACTTCTCCAGCTTGGGAGAAAAAGGGAACATTAAAGAAGTAAATAAACCAAAATACACATTTTACACGCATAGAAACTGAGCAGCAGGAATTGGAGCTGTAATACAGATGGGTAAGAAGGACAGGAACATTATCTGGATAATAGATAACCTTTAATGGGTACCCCAAGCAAATGATAGCTGAAGCACCGACGCCATTAGCAGCTACCATGCAGCTAACCCTACACAAAGGAGGACATTCACCAATATGGAATTAAATGGCATTACCCTGCGCTTCATCAATTATCCGGTGCAACAAGGCGATAAATACATAAGATCAGGCAATGCACCCATATAAACATGGCTATGTGAAAGACAACAAAGTTCTAAGTACCTTTCAGCATAATCTCTTAGAAAGAAACAATTCAAACACTGCAATTGGAAAGTAGTAGAGCATCCAGCAAACCAAATTTGAGCAAAGGAAACATCAGATATTTACACATAGGTTAATTTTTACAATGCTACGGAGATTTGAATGGACACATACTGAAGCTCATCTATTGAAAGAGGTCTAGAATGTACGACCCGGACATCCTTTCTGACTAACACCCTGATAAATTAATCTGTGCTAGAAACTCAACTCAACATGAATTACCCCTCTTTCTTATTCACAAAGGTTAAAATTAGGTTGTCTAGTAGATGACGTCAACTGATTTTAAATAAGACAGAAGAAAGTTCCAAATTGTATACACAGTGTTCTAAATATGAGCAACGACTATCACCTTGAACCCATTGACTTCCCTGCCAATATCAGCGGATGCCCAGGATATTTAGCAGACACCTCTTTGACAATATCGGAGTGAAAATCAACCAATTTTTCTGCCTTGGGGGGAGCCCTCCTCTTTCCACCAGACATATCTGCCAGAGTCCATAAAATTTCAGCAAGAAAATACGTACTATAAATGTTTGTGGATAATACGTCGAGTGAAACATAAATCTTACATGGGTAGTCAAAGGTCACAACTTCAGCAGCATTCAGTTCCTTGGTCAACATCTCCTTCCATCTTCACAAAGCTTGGATAAGTTAGTACAGAAGCTTTATGCTACTTATAAAGCATGCAGCTAAACTCTGATTTTAAGAAGTCGTTTACAACAATGTCAATATGTTGATTGAAGCAAATGATATAGAGTAAAATCTGTATTTATTGTAAGACAAAGTTGACTTCCCTCCATAAGTGAGAAAAGCCATTTTACTCTTTTTCATAAAAATTGAGTTTAAGTTCTTATGCACTCATGTCTCAAGGTATAAAAAATATTTACACAATCAGATAACTTTAAAACAGGTAAGCCTCCTTAAAATGTGGATTTGTAATCTTGAAAATAAGACAGGTTACCAGCTACAATAACATGTAAAAGTGACCTGATAGTGTAAATATTCCTTACATTGATGAGTTTTTAACTTAAAATCAAAAGGTGATTATGGAGAACTTTACCTAATAAGCATTTATTGGTAACCTACGATAAAAGATAACTAACCAGCTATAACAGGTTTAAGTTACACTTACGGTATACAAATTCATTACACTGTCAGTACATAAGAGAGATGACCTGATCATCCAATCAGAGGTGGAAGGAGCACCAGCACCATGAGCAAATACTACTACTGGTGACTTTTTTGAGCTTTCATGCACTTCTGCGTCTTTTTCTACTTGTTGCTTTTTTGGCTCTTCTGCTTCTTCCTTCTGTTCTGTACGCTTGCGTTTTGAAGCTCGTCGGCTAGCCATTCCGCTCGATACCGTTGAATAAACCGTCGGAGGGATTGGTTTTGAGCTATCGGAATAGTTATGCCGGAAGTGGAAGCTGACACCGAATTTTGCTGATATCGATTTTCGCGCCAAATTTTGGGACAATTTGTGAAACGGTGGAAGTATTGGGCTGGGCTGACGAAAAGATCAATCAAAAGCTAGGCCCATAGTTTACATGGATAAAGTACATCAAACAAGGGAAATGTCACTTTTAGCTCGCGCTAGACACTATTTACATTCAGTAACCAAAAAAATAAAATTTTATAATTTTGTATATAACATATAGATATATATTTTTTTTCGGCTATTATTTTGAGAACGGCTATGTAATGTTATTTTCCCATCAAAACTAGCTAAACTTATGGCACATTTACGCAAATGTCCCCTTTTTAGGTCATTGTTTAGATTTGTCACTATTTTGAAATATAGTCCTTAAATATTTACTCCTTCCTGATAACATTGGTCTCGGGTCTAATATTTGCTCATAAAGCATTAGGCTGTGGTTAATATTGACAATAACTTACAAAATTTAGGTCGTGATCTAACGCTTTCTCGTAAGATTTTCAGTTTGTTTACGACAAGGTCATGTAGTAAATAATCTGTTGCAACTTATTAAAATACACCAATGGTATCAAAATTTCTTATGAAGTTAACCTTTTATACATATGGATAATGTATACACTCTCATTTGGCGTTTCTCCTTTTATCTTTCTCAAAATTTTGAACATTTTGAATCAAGTTCTGAATCAAAGCGCAAAAATTAAATAGTTGTTTACCCTTAAAATCGGATAACAATTAAATTTATACGCGATTTTAAGGATACGTGATCTAACTTGATACAAATTAAGAAAATAGATTAGTAATGAAATTGCTGGTAAGAGAGTGAATGCAAACCGCACAAATTGAACAGCCTTGACCTTAGAGTTTGATCATCCTCGAGCCAAGAAAAGCCTTTACTGATGTAAGAACAGTAATAACAAGATGATAAAAGCTAGAAATAACAGTATATTTGCTTTGTATTGCGTAATTCAATGTGTGTTACTATACAAGATAAAAAAATCTCATGATTGTCTAATTAATCGGCCTCTCCTTGATACGTGCCGAGATTTCCGTCATGATTTCCAACCGATCGCGGATATTTCAGCCTTCTGTTACTCGGCTCGGTTAATTTCCTTCGATCTTGTTTGGTCTCGATTCTGTTCTGTCCAAGGGTCACGAGCCCAGCGATGCAATCTCGCATCTCGGTTCGATGTAACCCAAGATCGAACTTTAACCTGTCACGCTTCAGTCTCAATTGATCATATAATAGGCGAACCCGGTTTCGACCGTATACAATAGTATACAAAATTAATTTTCTGTGATGTAAAATCGGATCGTGATTCCCCTTTGACGGCACTACAAATTGCTAGCGAAGATTAATATCCATACAAGTCGCAGTACATTAAAAGTCAAACTAGGGGAAGGCAAAAGCAGTAAAATGGAATGCCATAGGGATTAACCTTTATTCTTGGATACAATTAAATGATTTTTGCCTTGCCATGGGTGGTAGGATGCCAAACTTCAATTAATAACTCAAAAAATTGTCTTTCGTTCTCTAAAAACTAACACGTTTCTAAAAGGGGTTGTTGCACAAATAGCCCGTCAAATTTAATGTTTACTTTTTTTGACTGAGTACACATAGATTATACATATTTATTATATATGAATTTTATATTTATATCTATATATATATTACTTTACTCTATACATCAAGGAAAGCCAAGCAGCTTCCCGTCGTCGTGTGTGCTTGCATTTAACATGACTTAGACACAGAGGTATTTAAGTATTTTCGCACAACTTGCGCTTACACGTGTGTTGAATACTGCTGAGTAAGCGGGCTATGAGATATTTGTCGATGTTTTGTATGAAATTTCAGGGGAATTTACTCAGCTTCATCATCTGTATCTGTTCTCCTCTCTATCTTCTATCAAGTTTTCTCCATGGGCCTTTCCTGGATTTCTCAATAACAATCTTCTATCAAGTTTTCTCCATGGGCCTTTCCTGGATTTCTCAATAACAATACGTCTGGTGAGAATTTCTTTGCCGTTCTTCTTTACTCACTGGTATTCCCTTAAAACTGGTAGGCGTTTAAATTAGGGATTTTTGTTTTTCCATTTTATTTCTCTCTTATTTTTTTGGGTTCCATCTGATTAGGTTTTTTCTTTTTGAGATACCCATTTGACAGACTGAAACACTTCTGAAATATTTGGTTTTCTAACTCTGTCAGTGTAATTTCCTTACTAAAGAACTCAGCTTTACTGATCTTTAAGGTTTTCTAACTCTGTCAGTGTAATTTCCTTACTAAAGAACTCAGCTTTACTGATCTTTAAGGTTTTCTAACTCTGTCAGTGTAATTTCCTTACTAAAGAACTCAGCTTTACTGATCTTTAATAGCAACTTATTTTGCATATCCTTAAGTGCAATTTCTTGATCTTTTTTGCTGAATCATTGTAAATGGTATGGGTAAATCAAAATTTTGATGAACGCCAACTTCATTGCTTGAGAATTTTCTTGATTTGTTGAAGACATAAAAAAAGAATGGACTGAGATGTATAATCAGTCAATATGTTGCTTTTGCCGACTATTTTATAAATAAGAAAAATCATTCACACTTGAGACCCTGGCTTTATCATTTCCACCTTTGTGCTATTGCTTTCGATGTTTTTGAATTGGAATTCTATTGAAAAATTAAAAGTTACTACTATATTAGTTTTCCATGTGTGCTTCTGTTTGAAGAGCTTATGTAGTAAATTGAGATTAATGGCCCAACACGGTGGAACTAGGGTAGATATTTATATTGTCTATGTGCCAGTTTTGTCCTTGAAAAAAGGTAAGGAACACTTTATGCTGAGGACTTACTAGACGTTGCTCACCAACTAAACTGTGGCTTTGTATTTTTATCTTCCTGCAATTTAACATTTCTGCATTTTTTCTCAGAAACTTTCTTTCAATCTTCTTTCTAGGTCTATATGTTCTTCGCTTCACTTTCAGTTTCAGCTGTTGTCTCTATGATTTTTTTGCCTTTTGGTAAGCACAGTTGTTCTGTGGTTATTGCACTTATTTTTTCCCTTTTTATTTCCCTGCTCTGCTTGAGATCATGTGAGCCACACTTTGGATGTTTCAAGGCCACACCTAGCAGTTTAGCTCTCCATTTTTATATGGATTTTGCTTTTGTGTTCTCTTTAAAGAAAAAAAATTACATTTCAAATTTCAAAAACGTCTTTTCCCACTTTCTGATCAGAAATTTTTTGAGGAAAAGGATAGTTTATTTGAATCTAGAAGCTACTACTGTCGTTATAAGGAAGATATGGGTACTACACATTTTAAATGCTACGCCTTTGCTTGAGGATGAAAGTGAACTAATTTTAAAATTTTAAAATTCCAAATGATAAAAAAGAATGTTAAAATTAAGGAGTATAGTCAAACTGTAATCTTCTCCAGAAGAAAAAGGTGTAAAATTTATTTCGGGCAATTCGCAATAGGTACTGATTTTGCTCCAGCAACATTAATTTAGGAAGATAGGGTAATTGATGTCTCCATTTTAGTATTGTTATTTGCTTATTTTTGTACTTCAGAATATTTACTCTCTTTCTCCATGTGGTGGATATTGATTCTTATCAAACTTGGCCTCAACTACAGATAATTGGAGATACAGACTACATTGAAACAGATGCATTCTCGGAATAAAAATAGCTCTTCCTACTCGGCAGAATGAAACGCAGAAATGAATTTCAGACGGCGTGAGAAGTATAAGCAAATGGCATCAACTGAAAAACAGGCTCTACTGCTACAACGCCGACTACGAGCAAAAAAATCCACTACATCTGCATTGTCATCTGAAACAGGTTAGAATACTAATCATATGTGTTTTCTGCCTTTGTCTAGAATTTTCTACATGTTTGTATATATCTGTTGATAAATACTCTTACTTCGTCAAGCTTATTTAGTTATACTTTGACATTAGCCACATTTTGTATTGCAATTATTATCTAATATGCATTGCGCCACTACGTTGGCAGCCCACTATCACAGGGCAACAAATTCTGCTCACCCATCCTCAATATTTGAAGTAGGCAAGTACAATCCTCTGTGCAAAAAGTTTTTACCATTTTCTAATTGAGAAAATATTTACTTATATTTATCCTAAAATTATCTGCTACTAGGGTCAACGTCTGGTACGGCTAACGAACAAAATCAGAGTTCTTACACTAATCTGGCTTAAGGTTGGTGTATATTGCAGTATTATTCCTTACCAATCTAGCTTTCCTTCTCCCTTCATTCATTCTGATGTTTTAGTAGTTGCAGGTCCAAATGTAAATAAAACAGGCAACATAACCATTAGCCAAATGCGATCAAAATACGTCCCACTAAAACTAATTTCACGTTGCAAGTTCTGCCGAGCTAAGAAATTTCAGTTTGAACCTCCTGCATTTTGTTGTAGCAATGGTTCAGGTAGCTTAACTACACACAAAATGCCCACAGAATTGCGGAATTTATATGTAGCAAACACTGAGGAATCTAAACGATTTCGCACATACATTAGAACATACAATAATATCTTTGCATTTACATCACTTGGTGTGAGCTACGACAAAGATTTAGCGAGAAGAAATCATGGTATTTATACTTTTAGAGTTCAAGGACAAATGTATCATTTCATAGATGATCTATTTCCTGCGAACCAAAAAGCAAAAAATCTGCAATTATACTTCTATGACAATGATAATGAACTAACCAACAGAATGGCTTGTTCCGATAGGATCGATGAAAGTATAGTTAGAAATCTGATAGACTTGCTGGGAAATAATCCATATTCCATTTTTTTAAGATCGTTGAGTGATGTTCCAAACCTGCTGAACTTCTATATTGCGCTTAAATGTGACGCAGGCTTGGATCAACGAATATATAATCTCCCTACTGCATCAGAAGTTGCTGCAATATGGGTTGAAGAAAATAGTAGTAATGTTGTTCGAGCACCTCATATTCAAATTTACACTAGCAGTAACAGATCACAGTTAGTAAATTATTATTATGGATGTTATGATCCTTTACAGTATCCATTACTATTTCCATATGGTTAAGGAGGATGGCATTGTGGAATTAAAAAAATTATGCCTGCGACTAGAGTTCATAGACAAACTATTTCTTGTGAAAATGAAGAGTTACCAAATATTAGAAACATGTGCTCAATTAATGGATATCTTGAAATGGAAGAGCATGTGCTACAACGGAAAAAACGAAAAAGAGACAATGTTTCTATTCGTGAGTATTATTGTTACAAACTTCAAATGAGAAATGACGATGAAGATTATATTTTACACATTGGAAGATTATTTCAGCAATACTCTTGTAGATGAGTATATAAAACTTGAAACACAAAGATTAGACTTTATCTCATTTAATCCAGATTTGTTCAGAGTCGATATGTCACAGGGAATTGTCGATGCTTTACGGCTTGGTGAGAGAGAAGCTGCTAACATTGGAAGACAAAATTTCCTCCCTGTTACATTTATAGGTGGACCAAGAGATATGCGTCGACGATATATGGACGCTATAGCGTTAGTGCAACGATTTGGAAAACCTGATATATTTTTAACTATGACATGCAACCCATCCTGGCCAAAAATAAAAGAACATTTGTTGCCAACAGATGAAGTTCAAAATAGATCTGACTTAATTAGTAGAGTATTTAGAGCCAAAGTAGAAGAATTGAAAAAGGATATACTAAAACGAAACATATTTGGAAAAGTTGTTGCTTTTATGTATACTGTGGAATTTCAAAAGCGAGGTCTTCCGCACGCTCATTTTCTTATCATATTGACTCACAAGTATAAATTACTGACACCTGACTCTTATGATAATATCATCAGTGCTGAAATACCTAATGAAGATACAGAACCAGATCTTTATTCACTTGTTCTTCAACATATGATGCATGGTCCCTGTGGAGAACTAAATCCTACGAAATCATGCATGAAAAAAAAAGATTGCTGTAAATTTGAATATCCAAAAGAATAGTCTGATCAAACTCGAAGGGAAAAAACTCATACCCAGTTTACAGGAGAAGAAATACCGGAGAAAAGGTAAAAGTCAGAGGATACTTTTTAGACAATTCTTGGGTGGTTCCTTATAATTCTTATTTACTTGGTAAGTTCAATTGTCACATGAATGTTGAAATATGTTCAGATATCAAAGTCGTCAAGTATCTCTACAAATACATTTGTAAAGGGCATGACAAAATTGCAATTTCTGTACACAACGACACAACTATAGAAATAGATGAAATAAAAGAATATCGTTCAGCTAGATGGGTGTCCCCTCCTGAAGCTATGTGGCGTTTATTTGGTTTCTCTACAAGTGAAATGAATCCAAGTGTTTACCATCTTCAGCTACATCTTGAAGGACAACAATTTGTTTCTTTTAAAAGCACTGCAAATATAGACAGTGCTAAACAACCCAATGATTTGAAAAACGATGTTAACTGAATATTTCTATATGAATAAAACAAATGATGATGCTATTGAGCTTAATTTATTATATAAAGAATTCCCAGAACACTTTGTGTGGTCAGTAAGTGAGAAAATGTGGAGTCGCCGCAAACTACAATGTACTATTGGGCGTGTGGTAACGTGTCACCCTACTGAAGGAGAAAGATATTATCTTAGATTATTATTGATGAATATAAGAGGTCCAAAATCATATGAAGATATACGAACAGTGAATGGAGTATGTTGTGATACATTTAGAGAGGCCGCGAAAGAAGAGGATTATTACATTGTGATAGTAATTTGATTGATTGTATGTCAGAGGCGGTGAGCTATCAGATCCCTTACAGTCTAAGACACCTATTTGCCACATTGTTGGTACATTGTTGTCCTACTAATCCAAGAGACTTATGGGAAAAGTTTGAAGATTCAATGTCAGAAGACTTTAACATTTTGCAAGATCTTCCCGTGAAAGATATTCGACATAAAGTTTTGAGTCATATTAATGAAATTTTACATTCGATGGGACACAATGTTAATGAATACAAACTTATTTTTGAAATTATCCAGACTTCTAGAGAAGCAAAAGAAGCAAGAGAAGTTCACTTTGAAAGAACAATTACTGTTTCTGAGGCTGATATGTTGTTAGAAAAATAGCTGAATGTTGAACAACGAAGAGCATACAATGTAATTATTGCCAGAATATTTTCAGATAGAGGGGGAGCATTCTTTATTGACGGTCCTGGAGGAACAGGTAAAACTTTTTTATACCGTGCTTTGTTAGCTACCGTGCGATCTAAAGGATTCATTGCGCTAGCAACAACAAGCTCAGGTGTTGCAGCTTCTATCCTTCCTGGAGGACGAATTGCTCATTCACGTTTTAAAATTCCTATTGATATTGATCAAAACTTCAGTTGTAACATTAGTAAACAAAGTTCACTAGCATATTTAATTCGAGATGCAAAGCTAATTGTATGGGACGAAGTATCAATGGTGAAGAGTAAGATGATTGAAATCTTTGATTTGCTTCTGAAAGATATTATGGATTCACATGCACTATTTGGTGGGGAAGTTGTGTTTGGAGGTGATTTTAGACAAACCCTTCCTGTAGTTCGAAATGGAAAAAAGGAAGACTTTATTCGTGAAAGCTTGTTATATTGTAATATCTGAAATCGACTTGAAAAATTACAGTTATCTGAAAATATGCGTGCCAAAACTGATCCTTCCTTTTGTAAATATTTGATGAGAATTGGAAATGGAACAGAAAAAGTCAATTGTGATAATAAAATTGAAATTCCACATTCTATAATTATTCCTTTTACATCTGAAGAAGAATCTTTAGATGAATTATTTAAGATCACATATCCAAATGTGAGTACATTCTTTTTTGATTCATCTCAAGTAACTTCTCGTGTTATTTTAACAACAAAAAATAATTTTGTTGATGAATTAAATGATATGCTTATCGCTAAATTTCCGATTGCATCTAAGACATATGTTGCTATTGATGAAACTATTGAACGCACCGATCAAAGTCAGTTTGAAGATTTTTTGCATACTTTAAACCCTCCTTGCTTGCCTCCGTACAAGTTAACTCTTAAAAAAAATTGTCCAGATAACTGCGAATTCTGAATCCTTGTGAAGGGTTATGTAATGGCACACGATTAACATGCTGTGATTTCAAAACGCATGTTATAAGTGCTAAAATTGCCACCGGTGATTTCCAGGGTATACATGTATTTATTCCTAGAATTCCACTGATATCGTCAAATGATGAAAAAGTCCCTATTCCATTCAAAAAATTACAGTTTCCTATACGACTATGCTTTGCAATGACTATAAATAAAGCACAGGGTCAAACATTAGATTGTTGGTATTTATTTACGCGAGCCTGTTTTTTCGCATGGTCAACTCTACGTTGCATTATCGAGAGCTAAAAGTTCAGAGTGTGTCAGATTGTTGATACGACCACCTACATCAGATAACCATGATGACCATTCTACATATAATGTAGTTTACAATGAAGTTATTCGAAAAACATTTTCCTGAATTTAGTAACCTAATTGAAAAGTAACATGCTTATGACATACAACACAAAGATGTTACTTTAACTGTACACCACAGATTTGATGTAAACGGTCGAGGCATTTTGAAGTACGATACAGATATTTACTATCTCCTCCTTTGTATTTTGTTTTGAATATTCATGAAATATCATGATACCATCTGAGAATTCTCTCTTTCCTTGATCTGATGCTGCTTCATTTCTTTACCTCCCTTAAGTGTTATTTTTGTTTGAGAGAAGCACATTGTATTAAAAGACTCTATTATGTAACATATTACTGAAAAAATAGGCAATGCTTATTCGACAACTCCATGCTTTTATTTTCGGCTGTTGCTTAAGTCAATCTTTAATTCAGGCGAACAACCCTTGCATAAAAAAAATCTAATAGTGTGTCTGATAACTTTTCTGTCTCCAATCTTTTAATATTTTTTTAAACTCCGACTGTGTTTGAGATATACTATAACATGGTTGGTCCCGCGCCTGGTTAAAGGAGCAGGATTTACTGTCTATTAGATGTTAGTCCTCTAACTGTCTCATTTTCATTTCTTGATGATTTTATTCATCTTGAATTTGTTCTTCTCCGTTATATAATAAAGTTGCTTCTTATCCATCAAAGTCCTTTCCTGTTTAATAGTAATAGCTTTACTACAAATTTCACTAATTGCTGCTATTGTTTTCTTCTGTGTCTTGCAGTGAAATAGCTGCATATACGACATTCTTAAGGGTGTACATTTATCAGCAAACTAAACTGCACTACTGCACTGTAGGTGGAAGTATAGCACTGCTTATTTAAATGAATCAGCCAATGTAAATATTGAGTAACTACAAAAAATGGTAATCTGATAGACGCTCCTTTTTAGTATTATTCAGTTGTAAGCTAAGGTACCTTTTGTTGATGCTAAATGCCAGGTAAAACTGTTGCCTTTTTATTACTTTATGCGTCCTCTTGTAATTTTTGATATTGCTGCCTAGAGATATACTTTCTAATTGTATTGATCTGTTTTATTATAGATCCTTCTCCCTCTCCATTCAAACACAGCATCAAACCAACAATCTGCATTCATGTCACCCACATGTTTGGTCGAAACTGATCGTGAAGGAGTACTTGAGGGTTTTGCTGAAGTAGTACGTATGGAACCTGAGAAGGCAGAGTGGTAAGGAGTTGAAAATGTGTAAATTTTCCAATTATTGCTGCTAACTTTTCAGTGTACTGCCCTGGGTGGTGTCTGGATAAAATTATTAACAAGTGTACCATATATTTGTGAGATCAGTTGTATTGTCAGTGACTGCTGGATGGTGATGCCTATGTTGTCTACTAAGGCAGCAGATATTTTTCAGCCTAGATTAATTAAGCTTTCAAGGTAGTTCGTTTGTGCAACGATTTTGATTGTTATCATTGTTTTCTTCAAATGTTCAGGCAGCAGAGAAGATTTACCACTTGGTGATTCAAGAGAAGCAAGTATTGACAATACCAAAGGGGGTTATTCGAATCTGTTTTCCTGCATATTACAGACATTACCTTTAGATTTCATCTTCTGCAATTTTAAAGTGCTATTTGTTCTTTTAGGCTTCCATTAATTGTTCCATTGTATTTTCTTGTAAACGTGTTCTTCCTTGATATGAATGTTCAAGGAAATGACAAAATCTTTGGTAACAACACTAGCAGAATGTTAGGTTCAGTTGCTACTTCTACTATTTGTTTTGATAATTCCAAGGAAGATGAAAATGTTCATAAATTTGTTAACATGAAGCTTCATTCTAAGCCCGGGCATCATCTCACTAGTATATATATATATCCGCTTGCTATTTATAATTTTAGAGATTATGTGGACAGCTACTTGGGTGAATTCTTCTTTTTAAAATGAACAAATTAAAGTCAAATGTGCTTAACATAAATTGCAAATATGGCTATGACTATTCCATGATCTTATCCTTCTAAAGAATTGGCATTGAAAATTGAAAGTAACAAAAGGCAGAAGATATGTATGGAGAGAGATCCCACACCCAAATTGGATAATGGTTTTGATCTCCAAGATTTCATTGTAGGCAACTTGCTTTTTTTACATTCATGGGCTATATAATTATTATAAAAAGGGGCTCATTAATCAATCTTTGTGTATCGAGCAATTTCAATGCATGGGTTGTTCACTCTCCCTCAAGGGCTTCTTATTATCGTGATATTGATCTAGTATGGTCTGGCCATGCACGCAGAAGCGAGTTCAAGATTTAAATCGTATAAGTTCAACTTTCAAGGTCTATAACATTAAACTCATTATACTTTTATAGTTACGGATTCATATCTACTATTTTTGTAATTTTAATGAATTTTACATATAAATTTTTACTTCGCGTTGAAAGTTACGAGTTCAATTGAACCTGTCGATTCAACACTACATTCGTCCCTGCATGTACGCACACATTGTAGCATAGTTAAAGACCACCAATGGATCCACATCACGCATTACAAGCAGAGGCGGAGTTAGCTTATGAGGTGCGAGTTCGACTGAACTCAGTTACTTTTGCTAAAATACAATATTGTACTAGAAAATTTATTAAATATGTACAAATATTTAATTGTGAACCCAATAACTAACATAAGTTATGGGTTCTGTGACAAATTTAGAACTCATAAACCTCAAATCTTGGCTCTACCTATGATGACAAGAATCTCTTGACGGAGTACGAACAAGTTATGCATGTCTTGTCCGTGATAACTATTTAATAAAGAAGAATTCAGAATTTCAAGTAAGTAAATACAAAATATAGAAAAAGGAATTTAGATTCTTCAAGGCATACTTGCTTGTTCACTCTCTCACAGGTCGTCATGTCTTGTCAGTCATAATTTTTTTTTGTAAAGATTACAGATTCAAAAATTTATATCGACGAATGCAAAATATTGAGAAAATTTGCATTAATTTTTGCAATTGGGACATCTTTATTTTTCTGCGTTAACTTTGCATGCATGCATGTGGTTCACCGTCCAATGACTTTTTAAATTTATTGAGAAACTTATTCTTTCTTTCTTTTTTCCTTAGGTATTTGTTTCTTGAGGAAGATTGACTTCTTGATATGTTAAATTAATTCTCTCATAGCATTCCCCAGAGTTAAAATAATGTAAACTATTAACTTGACTTTTTCTGTCCTCAATCCGATAAATACAAGTCAATTGACCAAACTATATACTTTTAAAAACTCAGATTTCTGGTGAAATACCTTCATGTTATTCTTATTCCAAGATCTTTTTGTCTTAAAATATTTCACTTTCTTGGACAAAACTTTTCGGGCGAACTAACAACGTCCCAATCGCCCCAATTACTTCCACCTTCTCAGGCAAATTAACTGTATCGTGTTTGGGTTGACTTTTCAATTTTGACTCACTAATCAAGGCATTTTCCCAAGGTCAATTTGATTTTAGTTCCCTTATTAGCTTGCTTTTGTTTATTCCAGCTTTAAATATGGGCGACTATGTTACATTTGGTCGGACTTAGAAGGGTTGAACCAAACAAACTGAGTCATAATTCAGCATGGGGAGGTCGGTTTGAACTAAACAATGAGTCATACTCAATACGTCCAACTTAAAATTCATTTTTATTTATTTAATTATTTTATGTCCATTCAATAAGTAGCTCATTACAAAAATTGATCAATTCAATAAATATTACTCCTAATATTAGACAATTAGCTATTTGTAGCCAAAAAATGTCAATTTTTTTTGAGTGGGTGTTGTTAGAATCGATTGAGTATATCTTAAGGAGTTTGGATCTCAGTTTTGGGATGATTTGGCGGAGTTTTGAGGTGGTTTGAATTGAAAATTCGAAGTAGAAGATGAAACATGGAAAAAAAATATACTGTATCACATGTATATCCATGTATACATGTTTGTGTGATACATGTTTGATACATGTGTCGCAAATGAATTTTTGAACTCGATTTTAACTACGAATTTTGATACCAAATCCGTTCAAATTACCTCCAATCTTCCTCAAAATTTGTATATTGACTCATCTATATGTTTTCAATCATTTCAACCATATATTTTTTTTTTGTATTTCATCACCTTGTTTGCTACTTTATCCATAAAATTTTCTTTCCGTCTTGCATCTAATATTGTTGATCACGCTTAAAAATAAGAAAGGAGATCTTTTGCGTGTGACTCTCGGAGAGAAAGAACCTTATTTATTTGGGTTTTCAATTTTTATATGTGCTTGACTAGTTTTGGTAAGTCTATAATTAATGGTTAGAGGTTGGTAAGTTAAAACTTATTTGGAACATTTATGTAAGATTCCATTTATCTAACTATAGAATCAAACTGATAACATCAACAACAATATTAATAACATATCCAGTGTGATCCTACAAGTGGAATCTCGAAAAAGTAAAGTATACACAGACCTTATACCTACTTTTATGGGATAAAAATATTGTTTCCGATAGACCCTCGGTTCGGCAGAAAAAAAGGTAGCATGTGAAAGGGAGTATAGTACAAATGCACAAGGACGAAGTACCCCACAACAATAATGCCAGGGGTTAGCTAGTTGCACTTAAACGTTGTCGAAAAATAGAAGGATTGCAGGTAAAAATGTTGTACTCCAATATAACCTTAACTAGATAAAAATGCAGAGTACTGAGTATGCGGTTTCACATCAATTTTGAATTTCACTATTCATTTTTGCCCTTATGATTCCAACAATTGCAGAAATCTGACTTCCCATTATCTGTTCACCAAATTTGTTTGTGCATTTGTATGGACGACGACAGCACCAAGTGCTGCCTGACTGTTTATCTATTCACCAGGACCCCCACATGGTTATCTCCACACACAAAAAAAAAAGTCATAATAGACTACCAAAGGATGTGGTGCAGTGGATGAGACTGCTCTTCCCTTAACCAGAGGTCTCAAGTTCGAGCCCTGGATATGGAAAAAACCTTGGTAGGGAGCACTTTCCCCCCGAATGGGGCCCTACGCGGCGCGAATTCGGATATAGTCGGGCTCCAATACGGATAACGAATACCGGGTGGGAAACCAAAAAAAAAAGTCATAATAGAAATGAAGCCAGAATTTAAATTTTATGGGTTCTAAATCCTAAAACACGGCCTTAATTGTTAGGTTTTGAATTTAACTTTTATACATATTTGATAATTTTTAACACATGCAAAATTTGGACCAAAATTACTGTGTTTGTTGAACTCGCATAATATATACTACTTCGCCCCCTGAATCACAGTAGTTGATTGATCTCTTAAATTTTGTTTTCTTAATTATTGCGTAATGCGTTTGCTTCCTTTTTTTTTTCTTTTTCTCCTTTTATATTTTTGATTTACATATCCAAGTTGTAATAGAAAGTCAATTGGAATTTGGTTTCTTAATTATTGATTCATCATGCTCAATATAATATTGGCAGATTGCTAGTCGGAGACGTAGAGGTGTACAAAGGAAACCGACAAACCGCACCAACCCGATAATCCGAGTCAAACCGAAAAAAAATCCGACTATGGTTTGGTTTGATTTGGTTTGGTGTTGAAAAATAAAACCCGACCATAATTGGTTTGGGTTGGTTTTAACTAAAGAAAGTCAAACCAAAACCAAACCAACCTGACATTACATATATAGAAATTTCAGATATATTTAATATATAACGATACTTATTGTGATGTAATTTATAAATATTTCTTAAACTTTCTCATAATTTTATCTTTTAAGGTATTATTTCAAGGTTGGACTTACAACTTTTGAATATTCCAATAAGTTTTATAGCCATTAATATTAGTAAGTTAAATAATGCTAACAAAAGTCCAAACCAAAATCAAATCAAATTAACTAACAAAACATTCAATTCAATGCTACGAACAACAATGTATTGAATATCTTTTTTTTTTTTTTTGCAATAATTTAGATAAAAATGCATAACCTATTTTTATTTTTTATTTAGCGTTTAGTCATGTAATTAATACTCCCTTATTAGTCTACTTACTTTGGCATGACTTAGTTCTTTTAGATTATGTTTATTTTTATTACAGCTTTTTAATTAGCAATATTTATATTACATAATTTTATTGTTTTAATTGTTGAATATTCTAGGATAATGCCATGACACATCTCATATTTTGTATTATTTTCTTAGAAAATACCTTATATAGTTGTATCTTACTAGGATTAAAGAAATATTTTGAGCACAAGTTATATGTTTTGTGCTACGAAGATTTTGTCGGAAAAAAAAAACCAAAAACCCCCGAATAACCCGAAAACCCGAGAAACCGAGATTGAAAACCCCGAGTTTTATTGGTTTGGTTTGATCTTTAGATTTAATAACCCGACACAATTAGTTTGTTTGGTAATTGCAAAATCCGAACGAACCCGACCTATGTAGTACTCCCCTACGGAGACGTATAAGTATGTATATTAGTATGCCACCTTAAATTAAAATATATTTATTGTTATAAAGTATAAAGAATTGGAAGATTATTTTCAGATAATTTCATTAATCTTTCATTGGGCTAAGAATGCTCTATTTTCTAGGACCACCACGAATGTCACATGACTTAGATAAACATTTAATAAGTACATATATAATCTACATTGGATAGGAGTACTCAGTGGACATCCATTATTTTAGTTCAGTGTATTCATATGTAACATTTAGTTACTTTATTTTAAGATAAAATGTGGAAATTAAATATGCGAGGCTTTGGTTCGAGAGAGAAGATACATCCTTTACCAATAAAAAAGAACATACAGTTGAGGAGGGAGAGAGCTAGAAAACAGTACCATATGTTAGCTTAATTAATTAAGAACAAAGATGAGTTTACATATATATAGTTTAGCTCCAAAATATGAAGCATTAATACTAAAACAATTATTTCTTTCCCCACCAAACCCCACAATTTTCTTTTCTCATTTTTTTAATTTTTTCTTTTGGAGGGGGGGGGGGGGGGAGTTTTAGATTTCCATTAATTTTCTCCAAGAATTAATCATTGACAAGAAACAGTCATCGGCCGGCATTATGCAAGCTCTTGATTTTTCTCCACAACCCTCACTTCTTTTGCAGATCTAAGCACATTGGCCTGCAATCATGAAATACCATTAATGTTAACAATAAATTTAAAAAAAAATACTCAAAATTTATGTTGCTTCGACTCTCTAAAAAAGTTCCCGCACCCGCACCCGCACCCGTATCGGATAGAAAAAATACTATTTTTGAAAGATCTGACGACACGCATCCGGCAGTTACTTTTTTAAGTGTTGAAGAGTGCGAACAACATGACTCAAAATATATAAATATTATTTAGGAAAGAAGAAGAAGAAGAAAGCTAGTATTAAACAAACCTGATAATCAGTGATTTCAACAGCAAAACCATCAACAATAACCAAAGATAATCTCTTTTTATAGCTGCCTGGCTCAAAGGTATTTGCTAACAGCTCATCATGTTTCTTGCTTATGTACAGATCCAGCTCATAGCTTCCCTTCTTTTTTCTATCATTATATAAAACCAAGAATATAACTTCTGATTAATATTAAATTTAGAGGCGGATTCAAGATTTAAACCTAACAGGTTCAAGGTTTTGATTTCTTTGAAAAGAAGAAGAAGAAGAATAATAATACTGACCTTTTGGATAGAAGGCGTTCGTATTCAGGATCATAGTTCATGAAAACAAAGTAAAGCTCAGTCTCTCCACTTGCCATTATCTTCTGCCTTTAGTTTTTCTTTTTCTTCTTATATATTTCCGATGAAAATGTGCACGAGGAAATGAAGCTCAACAGGGTGCTATTTATACATAGAGAGTCAACAGACTTTATTTAAAAAAAAAAAAAAAATCTCAGTGCAGAAAGCATTTCGCATTCACACGTGGTCCACCGAAGGGTCACAACCCTAGGGTGTCATATAGACCGCCTACTCTAATGCAAGCATTAGTGTATGTTTACACAGCTCGAACCTATGATTTATAGGTCACACGGAGACAACTTTACCGTTGCTCCAAGGCTCCATTCTGCAACATAAATATATATAATAATTGTTGCAAGTAATAAAAGGGTTAAGTGATTTACAGAGAGAGAAAATAATTTGACTTACTGAGAAATACACTAAACCTCACAATGTTGGTATTTACTTGTTTTAGACTTTAGAGAGCCCGAAAAATTTTAATACCCCAAATACTAGAAAAATGATTCAAAATTTTAAGTCAGTCAGTGTGAAGTTGCTGCCCGTAGGATGCATGAAATTCGAACGATTGGACAAGCTTGATATACTGTCTTTCCTTTATCAGCAGGCGATATAGTCGTGTTGTAATTATTTCGCCAATACTGATCACTTTATTCGAATGCAATAGAATAGTAACAAGTAACAACTGCTTAATTGCTTGATATGATATTTTGATATTCTTGATTAACGGTCCTCCTTTTGTCACTATTTTTTAATTAAAAAAAATGCAGTTCCTACTATTAGTCGTCTACAGAGAGTAGAATTCAGTATGGTATAATTAGCAATGACAGTACAAGCTTTGTATAAATGTATGATTTTTTTAGAATAACTTTTAAATTTTACACACACACACACACATATATATATATATATATATATATATATATATATATATATATATGCCACTCTCAAATAGTGAAGTTTTTCAAGAAAAAAGATATTGAAGTTTTGTTTATCTCTTCACTAATCCTTCGTGTAAGCGCTAAAGATAATGTGAAATTAATGTAAATTATTGCAAAAGCATGCTTTAATTAAGGAGACACAATGAATCTAACCCGAAGCTTCTTGATTCCTTGGGTTCTGCTAAAAGAATCTTAAAATACTGCTAACCCACACGCTTTGGAAGAAAAAGTCAACACATTATATTTTTTTTAAAAAATTAAAGTAAACTACTGGCTACTGGGATCAGTCAAAATGTACGATTAGACTAAACAATTTACATGATTTAATCAAACAAATAATGATAGCTTGTTACTGTTAGTAATATAATATTCTAACTGCAGGCCTATTCACCTATATTTTCAGTTATTAAAAGGAAAAGGAGTGGTACAATGTGTAGTAATTGGTCCAAGTGTCATAGATACCGTGACTAAATGAGATTGATTGAATCATATCTTAATCGCGCTACACTTAGAGCTTGAAATGTGAACTGTATATTACTTGGAATATTGAGTTTAATTTAATGATACAAATTCAATTCTTGAAGAATAAGTAAATGTTATTAATGAATAACCACATCCAAACGAAGTCATTTTTGTGAGTTACGGTAGAAGCTATTGCTAATTACAATTCTTTCATGTGCCAAAGTAATTTGGTACCAAAATTCTTATGACAAAATTGCCCTTGAAGTTTTAAAAAAAAGTTAAAAGCAGCCTCAGATACAGCACGAAAAATAATAGTATGGTATAAGATTTAAAATTTTATTGCATGATAACATGTTCAAAACTCGATATCAATGTTTCAACATCAACAAATTAAATAAGTCCGACATCTTGAGAAGTGTTTTTCTTAAAAGTATTTATTATTATTATTATTATTATTATTATTATATGAGGAGGAGGAGGACCCTGTCTGGCATGAGAGTGAAGGGTAGTAATAAAAGCACACGTGTAAGATCTGACATGATTCAGTGACATTATAGAAATAAAGTGGTCCTCTTGACTCTGTAATTAGTGATAGAAAACTAGAAAGGAACCAACGAATCAAAGTGCAGAACCACACGTGAGGCTACTCCATATTTCATCAGTGTCTGTCCCTTCTAAGATCCCTTTATTATGGGGGAAAAATAAGACCTTCTTTACCACAACTTCTTTTTCACATTCAAATAGATCACAATAAGATATGTGGTATAACGATTATTCAAAATGGACGAAAATCGTAAAATATTATGTTCAATCAATTAAGATATTCCTAAATTGAATCAAATAGGACAACAATAACAATAACAATAACATACGCAGTGTAATCTCACAATGGGATCTACAAGGCTAGTGTATACACCATCTTACCCCTACTTTATGCAAGTAAAGAGGTTAATTCCGTTGGACCTGTTTTGCTCAAAAGTTATCGATATACTTTGCAAGCTTAAGAACAATCAAAAGTAGGAAAGGGTAAATCGTAATCAAATATAATAGACTTAGAGATGAAAAATGAAGTTGTTGTTGTAGATCTAATAGTGTAAAATGATAATATGAACTCAAGAGAAAGTATTCGTTAGAGATAGAGATAGAGAGAGAGTATGAGAAAATGAGAGAGTTGTATTCTTCCAAAGTCATCCCCCTTTACAATGTGAAGGTCTCCCTTATATAGTAGGAGACCTCCCTCGAAATAATCAAAAAGATACAAAAATAGGTAACGTTTTCCTAGTGAAGACACTGATTCTTAAACGATGTCGCTTTTGTCCCCACGTCCAAGTCGTACCCTTACGTTAGTTGACGTATACTCACTGGGCGTACCCATTGGCGTAGAGACGTTGACGGTCAAATTTGACCCTATACAGTTAGTCCCTCCGTTCGTTGGAGACGCATTCAGTAGGCGTCTTCAATGGGCGGAAATGCAAACCTCGTCTTAGGAGAATTTGACCTCGACCTGGGGCGGCAACGTGAATGAGGGGAAATGTATGACGTTGTTGAGCCACTGACGCGTGGCTTCCTTTTCGGAATGACGTCATCACCTGTATGCGTCACTATTATACTTACTCCCGAGGCGGTTCAAAGGATGATGTGACATTTTGGTTTCCCGCGCACGTTTTGAATCATGACTCTTCGATTTCTGCGCAACCTAACCCTATAAATGGGGGAGAGGTTCAATCCGATTCATCTTTCGAACCTTTGGAAAACATTTTCTGGTTTACTTCTTTGCCTTTCTTTCTTGTAACCGTTATTTCGTGTGAGACTCCTCCACTTCTTTGAAGTCATATTTCTCGTCGTTAGTGCCTTATTTCCCCAACAGAATCATCATGGTAAAACGTCGTCAAGGTGGTAAAAAGACCAAGGACACTGACCCATCTAGGGCGAGCCCTTCCTGGGAGCATAGTGATTTATTGCAATCTCATCTAGACAACCTTCGAGCGACACACAACATTCCGGACCATGTGGAAATGGCTCCGGCTGGGATGGACTATGCCAATGTGCACAGGCCTGGGTACTGCATATTTTACGAGTACCCATTTTTGATCGGTTATAGTCTCCCGATTTACCCTCTAGCAGAGGAGCTTTGTCGTTTTTTCAATGTGTGTCCGACTCAGCTTACTCCTTACACCTTGAAGGTGTGCAGGATTCTGACCACGTACGCAGCTAAGGCTGAGTGCGGCGTCTCAGTTCATCATCTTTTACAGTTATTCAGCCCTGGTTACCTGATGGGTACCATGTTGCAATTGAAAAGCCGTGGCACGAAAGGTTTGGTAGTTAAGTCTGACGACAAGGCCAACCGCCACTTCTGGCGTAGGTACTTCTACATCAGAACGGAGCACCTGGTGTCTAACCCTAAAGGATTCCCGGAAAGATGGAACCCAGAACCAGTACCTTTATTTGCAGAATTCATGACTGTTCGTGACCTTGACCATTCGGCCACTGTGATTTCTTTTTTTTTTGTAGCGAGGGCTTCTCCACCCCAGTTTATTGACAGTATTAAATCGTGGGTGGAAAGATTGATACCTTATGCGGAGGAATGCCGTACCTGGGCTGCATTTCTTCAACAGTACGGCCCGTCAGGTAATCTTCGGCCTTGGTTTGGAAGCTCCCTTAGGTTTTGTTACCTGACTTACTCGTGTTGACAGGGAGAAGAGCAGCAGGAGGTTGCGCCTATGGCGGCGTCCGCAAGTGAAACGACTCCTTCAGTGCCGTCCCCGCGGTCTATGGAGGAGACTTCTGAAGGTGAGGAGTCGCCAGAGAGAAAGAGACGGCGGTTGATAACGGGCAAGGGGATAGCGATCCAACCGCCGAATTATGATCCCAGGAGGGTATAACCTGTTACAACACAGCGAGCAGGCCGCAAGGATATGACCTAGACTCTCATTTTGGAGGTGGAGAGGAGGCGGCGGGCGCAAAAGAAGCATGCACCAAGGCCTGATGAGGGTGGGTATACGCCTCTGGCAACGGCGCGTAGCCCGCGTCGCCCGCGAAACCTGTGGTTATAGTTCTGACTCCCCAGACCAGGCGGGCTATAACTCCGAAGACGTTAACCGTCTAGAATCCGGCTCTTGGATCTCTGCAACTTATCAACCCGGGAGCGGCGATGAACAAGGTGGCGTTCAGGCGGGGGACGACGGTTGAAGCGGCGAAGCCTCTTAGGACTTGTATATATTTTGTTTTGTTGTATTTTGGAATGTAAATGGGACCTTTTGAAAGGTCAGGTGTACATGCATTTTTTGAATGATAATGAAAGTCGTACTTTTGCTGTCATTCTTTTCCTTTTGTATCTTTTATTTTTGGTACCTCGTCTCCGCAGAGCGGGTGCTCACTTACTTCTAGGATTTTCAGTGTGTTTCTCGAACGTTGTCTGTGTTATCCGCCGATAGGATGCGGCTTCGACGCTAGATAGTGGTGGCTTTAGATAATAATGGCATCACTTCAATTGTTATTTGAGTACCTTTCATCGTAGTCGAACAGGATTGGCGACTGTTGGCGACGATGGCCTTAGCCATAATACTGTCGATGGCCTTAGCCATGTACGTAACTTCGACTGTCGTTGAATTACTTGTTTGTAGTGGTCGAGCTGGGTCGATTTATTGACGACAATGGCATTAGCCATAATACTGTCGATGGCCTT